CTCGCCCACGGGGCAGCGGCCCCGACGGCGGCGAGGGTCTTCGCATCGGGGAGGAGACTCGAGCGGCGGCGAGGCTCGATCGGCGGCGAGCGAGCGAGCGGAGTTGCGGCGAGCGAGCGATGGAGGGAGGCGGCGAGCGAGACTATCGGCGGCGAGCAAGGGGCGGCGAGACTCTATCGGCTGCGAGCGAGCGAGCGAGCGAGGCGCGGCGGCGAGCGAGCGAGCGGCCATGTGTGTTTCCAGCGCCCCGACAGGTCATCCCTGGAATTGGTGAACGTTTTCTTACTCGGCGTTTCGACATCGGGCGGAAGGGGGGGGGGTCTGGCTCCGGACCCCTGCTTGATGCGACTGATTTGCAACAGGGCGTCCCATGGTGGAGATTCCACCCGCTCGAAACAGGCGCCGAAAAACAGCCAAGATCTACTCCACGGGAAGGGGGGGGGAGGGGAAGGGGAGGGTGCGAGGGCCCGCTCCGATCGGCAAAACGAGGAACCAGAAAACAATCGCAACTGGCCATGTGTGCTTACAGTGCGGGCGCGGCCGCAAGAAACCCTCGCAAGAAACCCAACCCTGAGAACCCGCGCGCGAGGTACACCTGAGAGGAAACCAGGAGCACCCTCAACGCAGCAGCTCCTTCAACGGCTGCGGGAAGTCACCGCGCAGCGCGAGGAGCGAAGAAGCCCAGGATACCCTGCCGAAAAGCACATGGTCTCTCAATGCGCGCCCCCGCTGCACAGCTTCCCGACAGGCCATCCCCCCAGGGGCGCGAAGGCGGTCGCGCTCCGCGCCCCACGGCCCGGGGCCGCGAGGGGTGCCCCATCCTCCAGGCCGAGGGCGCGGGCACGGCCGCGCGCTCGCGACCCGCGGGCAGCAAGCATGATGTCGCAGGCTGTCCTCAGCAGCTTCGCAAGCGAGAATACAACGCCTTCGTCGCTGCATGCGGTGGCTGGTGTGCCACCTTCGGTGACAACTCATGTGAGCCTCCCGTACCATCTTGTCGCCTCCTACGAATCGACGCTAGTCGACGCTAAATCGACGCGATATCGATGCCAATAGACGCTAACCGACGCTAAATCGGCGCATATCATCGACTCCCAGACGCTAATCGACGCTAGTCGACGCTAAAGACGGAATTACGAGCGTATACAAGACTCCCATGATTTGCTACCGAATTCCACCCAATGCAGAGCGCGCGGAAGCTGGATGCCCATACTCGAGGAGGCACCAGGAGCGCCCCTCCACTGATCGGGTTGCAGCGGATCGGGCTGCATCGGCACGGGATCGACACCGCATCGGATCGGCTGCGCCGGGATGCACAGCGCTACCATGCAAGCATGGGGCCGCATCGGATCGGCGGAAAATCGGATCGAATCGGATCGAAACAGCCGATATCGATATCGACTCGGATCGATCGGATCGAAATGAACCCTGCAGGGTTTCCCCGGCTCTTCGCACCATTCTGGGGCCCACGGGGGTTCGCTGGGCCTCGTGGGGGATGCTCTGGAGGCCGCGGGGTTGTCCAACCAAGGCGAACTGAGGGGACCAAGGAGAGGGGAACGACACGAGGAGGAGAGGAGCTAGGGAACGTGGGAGGCAGAAAGGGCGCACCCTTCCTTCCACTCACGCGGGCGGCAGTCCTGGGAGACCCACAGAACGGCTTGGAACAGGGCTGGACCTAGCCAGCGTCTTTCGTTTTCGTTTTGCTTTCGCTTTCCCCCGTCTTGTCCTCCATCCGCCCTTCACCGCAGAACGACATCGAAACGAAAACGGCCCACGAAATCGCCAGAGCACCGTTGAGGTCCACCCCTGGCTTGGAACTGGGGGAAAAAAGACCACGGACTTATTGGGGGCCTGGAGGGGGAGGAGGAGGAGGAGGAGAAGGAGGAGGAGGAGGACGAGGAGGAGGACGAGGAGGGGAGGAGGAGGAGGAGGAGGAAGAGGAGGAGGAGGAGAAGGGGGAGGAGGAGGAGGAGGGGGAGGAGGAGAAATCATGCGAAGGGCGCGAAGGGCCACGGCCGCCTCAGGGCCACGGACCACGGAGGCCGCCTGCCGACGGCGGCGGATCGCCGTCAGCGAAATACGTGTCTCCACCGATTGGTGCCAGCTGCTTTCGCCCGTGGCTCTGGTCAGTCGTGGTCCCAAGAGGCGGCGGCCCTCCTTCCGCAAGACTACGCGTCGTTCATTCCCACCAGCCCTTTGGGCGTGAGTGGTTTAGAGAGCTCTCTCTGTCCTCAACCCCCCTTCTTCCCCTTCGGGGAGGGGTTTACCCCTCCCCCTACCCCCTCCCCCTGGACCTGGACAGGGAGTCCGGGGTGGTGGCAGGGGGGTCCATTTCGACTTCTCGGAGGGCCAAAAAACGACGACCCTCACGAGGATTCTGGCCCCGACGGGGGAGCCGAGTTTGGCCCCTTGCTCTTCTTTGAAGCCAAAATCATTGATTTTACTACGGTTTTGGCCCCATCTGGGCGTCCTGAGGAGGTCGCGCTCATCTTCCGTCATAGCAAAATCATTGATTTTACTAAGGTTTTGGGCTCATTTTGTCCTTCTCAGGGCGCAGCTCTCATTTGCGCTTCTGAGGAGGTCGCAAGAGGCCCCAAGATGGCCCCAAGAGGCTCCCAGGAGGCTCCCAAGAGGCCTCCAAGAGACCCCCCAGAGGCCCCCAAACGGCCCCAAGAGGCCTCCAAGAGGCCCCCAAGAGGCCCCCAAGAGACCTCAGGAGGCCCCAAGAGGCCCCCAAGAGGCTCCCCAGAGGCCCCCAAGACGCTCCTGGAAGCCCCTGGGGCCGCCAAGAGGCCCCCAAGACGCCCCAAACGGCCTCCAAGAGGCTCCCCAGAGGCCCGAAGAGGCCCCCCCAAGGCACCCAAGACGCTCCTAGAAGCCCCTGGGGCCGCCAAGAGGCCCCCAAGACGCCCCAAAAGGGGACGAGGTGCCCGAACGCCTCACGCCACGAGGAGCCCGAACGACTCACACCAGGACGAGGGGCCCGAACGACTCACACCACGAAGAGCCCGAACGACTCACACCAGAAGGAGGGGCCCGAACGACTCACACCAGGACGAGGCGCCCGAACGACTCACACCACGAGGAGCCCGAACGACTCACACCACGACGAGGGCCCCGAACGACTCAAAACACAACTGTCGGCATGCTTCGCAAGAGTTGCTGTTGTGAGATGGGCTGGTGGGGATACGCGAAGCGTAAAGAATTCTAATGCTGCTCGTGTCTGATTGTGTTCGTTTCTAGTGGTTCCTGGCCCCCTAGTGGCCAGGAAGAGGCCCAGGGCAGAACAATTAGAAATGAAAGGATCTTAGCCCCCAGAAAAAATTAAGAACTATCGAAGAATCAGAACTGAACAATGTGCATGTTTCCAACGATGGTGCCAGTTGCTTTCGCCCATTGCTCTGGTCAGTCGTGGTCCCAAGAAACGGCGGCCCTCCTTCCTCAAGACCAGCACCCGATGAATGACGTTCACCCAGCCCGCATGTGCTTCCAGGGCACCTGCCTCCCCCTTCCACTTCGGCACGTTCGAGACACCCGGCCCGTTCCTGGTCGTGCTCCTGAGGTTCGTGCTGAAACAAGTGAGGTGCCACTCTTTGCGCTACCAATGTCCTTGACGGAGCGCGCAGGCACAAAAACTTAAGTTTTAGCACCGATGCAGCGGTTATGACAATGGTCAATCACAACAAGATGCACCACGCCAATTACGTTCAGCTATCAACATCGAACCCCGTCGGATCCCAGCCGGTTGATGAAATAACTTGTTCCAAGAACGCAGCTGCTGCGTCCAGGGAAAAGATTCAGCCGTGACGGCTACGGAAGAAAAACAACAACGATAGGTCTGTACAACATGGTGACATACACGCACGTGCAAAACAAATACATACACGTGCGCTTACACGTATACGTAGAGTTATATGCATGCATCTATACACATACATACGACTACAGACATGCAAATGTATATAATACCATATGTTCATAGACCGAAACATGCAAATATACGCACGCCTACACATAGCCATGAGAACGCACATACATTGATATGTGCATAAGCGTATACGTATGAATACGAAACTACCTCAGGTCTATACATAGACACATGACTCTGCAGCTACCGAAACATTGTCGACTACACGCGCATACACATACATACACATAGGCATACATCTGCACCTGTACATAGACCTATACGCAAATTGTCATGCCTTCATACATATATACATATATACACACACATCACCTGGGAAACATGCTTCGGCCCAGACACCGCACTACAAAATCCACACCCTGCCTTTCGCCTCAGACGACGAAGAGGGCAGACGTCGACGCGAGGGCGCTTGTTTACTGAGCCGGCTCGCGGACACCGCGAGGAGTGCCTGAGGGGCAGCAGCACCCCGAAGATTGCTGGAGAAGCGCTGACCTCATCTCTGGCCTCGTTTAGATTTGCCAGGATTCCCAGCACGCCGAGCGACAGCGAGGGCCTCACTGACCACCTGCAGCACGCGCTCTACAAGCTTTCCACGGATGCGCGCCGCCTGCCGCAGGAGAGCAACCGAGACTCGGGCCAGCGAACGCACCAAGCTGGCTGGCTTCGTATATACGCGGCAGCTCTCGAGCGACACCCACCGACCTCGCTGCTGGATGTCCTTAATCGACGTCTTGTGAACAAGGGCGTCGTGGCTAGGCCCGGCATGGCGTGGACCGTGGGCAACCATCGGGGAAACCAGGGCCTCGCTCATCTCTCTGTAGAGCCGCTCGAGGCTGTGCAGCGTGAGGGCTCGGACAAGGGGCTTGTCTGCTGGGAGGTCTCGGGTGAGCAACTCCAGCAGGTCACAAGCGCAGGCCCTGTCGTGGGCCCCGACCACAACGCTGGCGTCGAACCGTCTGTTCTTGGCTGGGGGGCCGCCGCGGGGGGCGATCGTCAGAGCCCAACCCTGGGCGGCGGCCCCTCGCCGCGGCCGGCTGACCGCAGCGCCCACCAGCGCCAGCCCCTCTGAGGG